CAGAACAAAACAGAAACTTACACGATATGCTTATTTGACAGTCAAATCTTGTTTTGTAAAAGAGCAGGAAGTGTTGACGTCAATACTATAAAACACTACTTCAAAAGGCTGTGGCTGGTTTCCATAGCAACCCTTTTGAGTAAAGCTCTAGAAATTTCATTTCTCTTCTTGAGTGCAATAGCACACAATTGATCTTTCTTCACCATATTTAAACAAACTCTTTGGTCCATTTGAGTGTACCATACCACCTTAAGTGCCTTTGAACTGATAATATTTGTGTAGCTCGCCGGCGTGGCTTTTAAACTGATAACGCCTGTGTGGTTTGTCTGCGTGGCTAATTTTGTATCAGAGGCGTGCCAGCGTAGTAACTTTGAATTGATAATTACTGGGTGGCCTGCCTGCTTGGCGAATTCTTTGTTCTGATAATGCCTAACGGGCTTTTCTGCGTGGTGATTTTTTTTTGTACTGATATATTCTTGAGAGGCTCGCCGGTATGGCGAATTTATACCTGTGTCTGGTGTTGTGATTTTCTTCAGTTAGAACTAGAGTAGCGATCAGGGTGAGTAACTCCTGTTGGTATACCGCATATCTCGGTAGCCACTAGACGTTCCGCAATCAGACGCTTTGAAGTCGCTCCCTCTTGGTCTGGAGCCCCGGTACCATTAGACTTCCTAGTTTTTGTCGTTATCATTTAACTACTGTGTAGGTGAAATCCCTATTTGAAGCTCTTCATTGCACGTATGGTGGGACTTAAAAGAAAGATCGTCTCATCCAATGATAAATTTTCTGGAATTAGGAAAACTCTGAGTGGAATTTTGAAATCCGGCTAAGGGAATCAAGCCGAGACTCTTAAGAGCTAAATGGGGCTTCCGGCCAAGCTACACGATAGTGGCTGTTAATTGGAGGGACGCAAGCTATTACAGTGTTGTGTTACAGTATTATTTTTCGTTTTAGTATTATACGGATACGGATATTTATGGATTTAGTAAAGATTGTGAAGAGGAGAGTTACGAGGAGCCGATCTGAGGAGTGAATAAACGATTTGGGGGTGGACAGCTAGATCAAGCCCGACCTGCTCATTGGGTGGGAGGGTGGGTCGCCAACCTCTTCACTTTCGCGGCCTCGAGTAGAGTGATGAGGTGGAACATGGTTTATGTTGAGGTTTATTATTGAGTTGAAATCTCGGTTTGATCAGTCTTCGTTTTGAGTCACAACCCCTTGCTTTTTGTTGCTCATTTTTTCCCTGACGCCCTGGTACAAGCAGAAGACCTGCATCTTTTCTTTGAAACATGACGTAACTTATCCAAAGTACATGAACTGAACAAGTAAGATAGCCACCAGCCACCACATAGAATAGGAACGATTAAGTTCATTAAGGACAAAGACTTATTTCGCTTAAAATAATATACCGACCGCAGACTAATTGGCCGAGAGCACGTCAATTATCACCAACAGTACAAAATGTTGAAATTGAGTGCAGAGAGTTGGAATTAAATTGCATGTACATTGTGTATTGCTAACAAGCAATCAAGTGATTTTTCGCGCGCAATTTGGGATAAAAAAATACACTTTTAACTTTTTCAAAGACTTCGACGTCTTTGAAAATTTACTTGTGCTTATTTATTCCAAATTGCACTCAAAATCATTTGATCATCTACAATTATTGCTTACATGTACTTATACCCTTGCCACAGTCCACGGTCCACCCTTCACACTGACAGGTAAAATTTCCCTTCGGAAATCATAGATAAACTTTAGGTGTTCTATGGGTCGGACAAAGTGGTTTATCGACTATAGGTCCTCACGGGTCGTCGATGGAATTGATCCACGGGGGTGGTCGATGGACTGGGTCAACAGGGGTGGCCCATGGACTGGGTCTGCAGTGTTGGTCCCTGAACTAGGTTCACATAGGCAGTCTATGAAATGGATCCAGTGGGATGGTCCTTGAACTGTCATCACTGTGGTCCAGGGACTGGGTCCACAGAGTGTGTCCATGAACTGGATTTACATAGGCAGTCTATGGAACGGATCCAGCGGGATGGTCGTTGAACTGTGGTCCAGAGACTAGGTCAACAAGGGTGATCCGTGGACTGGGTTCATAGATAGAAATCATATCAAATTTTGCAAATGATCTCTTCCAACAACGAACTTTTAGATACTGTTAAGCTCTCAACAACTTATTTCGGTCATTACGGTCGTTCAAATTGATTGTACCGCATTTTCTCGATTAAACGCCCCCGGCGTTTATTTCAAACTCGGGATCAGGGCCAGGGATTTATTTGACTTTTGCAGTTTATTCGAGCCGGGAGGTTATTCGAGTTTTCATTCGGTATTTTTGAGAGCAAAATATCTTATACTTATACCTAAAGTTTATTATGTCTTGATTATAAATTCCTCGAGGGTCTTAACTATTTAGGAATCTAACTGGGACACCGGCATTTATTCGGGCCCCAGCTTTTAATCGAGAAAGTATGTTAACTTTTATGGCCGCCTCAGGAGGGCCGCCTTAGAATGATACAATTCTACTACCAACTTCAGCAAACTTCTCGTTTTCATTTTTGGAAGATATCGGAAAAATCTTCCTTAATTTCTGAAGGTTAGCAAAAGACGATTTACCTCCAGGAAGTGTCAGGTCCATCTGGCAATTTTCCGGGAATAAATCGTAAATCGTGAACGTTTGAACATTTCGCCTTTTTCTATGTATTATAAAATAGTCATCTTTAAATGAAAAGTAAATATTTGTTCAAGTTCCAAAACATCTGGAAAAGACAACTTGCAGGATAAGTAGTCCCCAGTTTAGAATTTGAGGACGATTAACTCATCCCATATTCTTTTTGATTGTTACGCCCGTCGACAGGACCATGGTATACTTCCGTTGGTGTTCTGACTATGCACCAGTCCTCCGAGAGAGGTGGTTCGGCCATCTTGTCTTTCCAGTAAAACATCTGGTATTTTACATGTGGCAAAGAAAATGCAAAAAGGATCTGTGGGCGCATGGCGTTGGTCGACACTCGGAGGCTGATGTGTATGGAATAGGAGAGAGAGATTTGCTTGCGGTTTCAGAAATTTTGGGCCACAAGAAATTCCTGTTTGGAGAGAAGCCTTGTCTAGCAGATGCAGCACTGTTTGCTTTTATCGCTGCGATCGCCTGGGATTGTCCCGAAAGTCCTTTTGCATTACTCACCAAGTCTAAGGCAAAGAATCTTGACGAACACGCCAAGCGAATGAAGGAACTGTATTATCCAGATTGGGATGAAATTATTTCAAAGAAACATAAATCTGGTTAAGACCATAACCACATGCTGTCTTAGACTTTCCACCCTCAGGCTTTTCCTCCTAAGAAGAGACGGGATAGCCTGTTCCAGACATTCAGTTAGTTGGGTAGCAGCGAATTTCAGTCTACTGGTAATTAGCTTAACTTTGTTTACTTCCCTTTTTTCTGTGCATGTCTGTATTTCTTTGTTTTGTGTCCCTGACCTAAACATGTAGAATAGCACCCCTTTTGTTTTCCGTTTCTACTCTATGAAATTGTAATTTTTATAACTCTGGGGTGAAATATAAGTTCTTGTAGTAGTTGCTGTTTGTTGTTGTTTTCTGTTGTTGTTGTTGTTGTTGTTGCAGCGCTCTATGCTTTTCTCTCCGCGGTTCCCAATTTACTGAACGTCGGTTACTATAGAGTGGATGATCTAGTTGTGAGGAAGTTGAGGCTATTTTTCTAATTGTCTTGGAGACTGTTATACAAAAACGAAGCGGTGATTAACTGGATCAATGCTGTACCGCGCTTATGCTAAGTTACGAATCAGGCTTAGTTCTTGTAAGGGACCGATCCAGCTTTGGACCTGAACAATTCCTAAACCGAGCCTCCATCTTTAATCTTTAATCATTATTGATACACTGTAAAAAATTCATCGGGTACAATTAATTCCAATAAAATGTCTAAGATCCTAAACCTAAAAATCTAATCCTAACATTATATTAACTTACAACAGTATTCTACTTATAAACCTGATTTCCATGAACGCCGTGTGTTTAAAAATTATGACAGAGAAAGCGATTAAATTGATTTAATGAACCAAACTCTCTAATGTTACAGGGTAAACTGTTTCAAAGGGTTGCGCCGCTGTAACTAAAACTATTTTTCATGTAGTTAGTTCTCGGAAATGGAAAAACGAGTTTGTTAACCGAGTCGCTCAGAGCATAATTTGATTCATTTCGAGTTACAAATTTAGAAGTGAGATATTCGGAAACCAGACCGTTTAAAGACTTGAAAACCATTAGGGCTTTCTGAATTTGACGTTGAGATTGCAAGTCTTTTCAGCTCAGTTTGTGAAACAAGGAATCGACATCAGCGTCATAGCCCGATGAAGTCATTACTAGTGCAGCAGGGTTTCGTAGCTTTTGTAGCTTGTTAGAAAATCCATTTTTCCAAAAGGATCGGATCAGCATCATAGGGGGTACAGACAGAGAGTCTCGTGTGAGCAAAAAGCCCATCTGATTTGAGTTGTTGACCGGTACCCTGGACCAGCCTCGTGTAAAAAAAGAGCATAAAACACGCAAAGTTAAAGACTTGCAACTAACAAACCGAGCAAAAGATAGGGACTCAGATTTTGAGTGTGCTTGTAAACTCTAACTTTTTAAACTTTTCTCTCTCCCCAGTTATATTTCCCTGAAAAGATTATAATCCTCGGCGAGAGGACTTAAGTATAACGTAGGTTCTGTGTATAAGTATACAAGAGGCCGTTTTCACTCTACAAGACGAAGATAATTCACTTCCGGGCACTAAAATCGGCTTTGTTAGCTTGCAAGTGGAAAACAAAGGCTTCTTTCAAGAAACCTTGTCAAGATAAAAATTGAAACTAAAGGGAAAAGAAATTAAAGGGGAAGGAAGTCCCGTCCCTCCCAATGTAGGTTTAAATGAGATGACACGGGTAAAACACAGACACATTCACAAAAAAGAACTAATTAAAACCGAGTAAAAAAAAAAAAAAAAAAACAGCGAGTACTTTCTTTTGCCCCTCAAGCTCACTGCACGGAAACTTGCCGAATATTCAGTTTGCTTGTACAAGGCGGACACCAATGTATTGTCCTGAAAATGGACAAAAGAAAAGGTCACTAGAACAGACGATTTTTTCAAAAGCGCTGATAGACCACCGGTCATATCCAGACGAACTGTGGCGAAACTGTGGATTTTAAGTTTAGAAAATGTCTTTGAAGTACAAAAAAAAACAAAACAAAAAACAGGCACAAAACAAAATAACAGCCGGTAACAAAACAATTTGCCAGAATATCTTCTCATTGCAAAGTGAATACGATCACAATGACAAATATCCGTCCCTGACAATAGCATTATAGAGGGGAATGAATGGGGTGTAACTGATGAATTTAGCAGAATTATAAACTCAAAGCTGACAAACAGAAAGGAAGATTCGAACGAAAACTGAAACCGCGCACGAAAGGCCTCTGTCACCCAAACTATAAGTGATCGGTGTTACAATGTAATCGAGGGGAAAAGCACGTGCTGAACCTTTTCAGTGGGCAACAGAAACAATGCACATGGCTCTGAGACCTGATAACAGCTGTTACAATAATAAAACAACAGCAGTTTTCAAGAGCTCCTACACTTCTGGAGTTTCAGCCGTGAGCCTTGACTTGGGAGGTGAGACTTCAAATCAAAGCTTTCACCTGAGATCATATTTTCCTTAATTCTCATTTCACTTGTGAATCAAAACAACCACGTTGGCAAATCATATCCTAATACGTAGTTCAAAAATAATCTTTCTGGCGAGAAAAGTATCTACAGTTTCCACAATAAGAAAGCAAGTTCTCGGGGGCCGAATGAACTGGACGTTTAGCTAATAAGCAATGACAGACACAACATGGCAAGCCAATGATGGCCAAAAATAACACTTTTACGTGCTCGAAGATTTGGAACTGCCCCCAAACGTGATGACCTTAAACCCCAAAAGGGATTTGTGTGTGAGGGTGTAGGGCGGGAGGAGAGGTACTTTCCGAAACATTTGGCGAGGGAGTGTTTATACAGAGTTAGACCAAATGTTTGATTTTCTGTGCGCTATTACAGACCTTTAAAATCATATTAGTACACGTCTCTAAACAAGGCCTCAGGTACTCAGGAGAACGGCGTCAAATTAATAACGGAGAAACGTAATAATTCCCGGCCAAAGTGCAAAATAAATACTATTTTATACCAGCAATTTTTAAATTTATTCTCCTTTAGACTAATGCGGCTAAAAAACCATACCCTTTAGTACCTGCACATCACTATATGGCTAAATAATAAAGGTATCCCCCGCTCCGAACCTCAAACACCAGTGTGGCATAACAAGCAGAAAAAAATCTGCTCAGATTGTTTTCATCGAGACAGTGAATAATGAGCCAAAAACGGACGATTGACCAAGTTTTCAGCCCATTTTTGGACTGACCGATAGTGGAAATAAATCAGGGAATTCAACAGCACCTAAAAATTTATTGCACAGTTTGACAGCTTTCATAAGCACTGAAAACAGTGAAACTTTTTTTTCGTGGCAGAATGCCAGACTGTTGCCGTGATATGAATTCAGGGGAGTGGTGCGTTGAGTCGAGTATTCGGTATCACAACACACTTAACGAACAACAAACAGTGTTTCCCGGATCTACTGAAATATCAAAAAACAGCAGGAGCCTTGGTGACGATTGAAGAAATATAAAATGACAACACTTAGTTGTTCAGTTTACACTTTTAATATCGACGAGGGCGGGATTAGGAGACACCGGTGGAGAACATGCTACAGCTTCCCTATACAGCTTTCATTGCATTTGTCTAGAGTTTGTTTATTTATTTATTCATTTGATTTCAACGGACATTTTTGTCTTTCTGGAATTTAATGTCCCGACATTTGCATACCACCGGCTCATCAAGCAACAAAGAACTTGTAATTTTGTGATCCCGAGGGAAAACCCGCGTCTCAAAAAGCTCCTCGCTTCGACTAGGTAGATAACTCATTCCTCATGTTTACATTTTGATCATTCTTAGACGTTATCGACCGAGATAACACCTAAACACCCAATGATCTGACTGAATTTATTCTCCAAATACACTCATGTTGATGCTGAAATGCTATATGTACACAAACAAGACCAGGCGACCGCCACGGATGACGATCCTTCAGACATGCTGGTTTCTATGTTTCCACACCGCAAGGATAAAGAGAAAATCCTTCTCTCAGTGCATTTTTTTTTTCCTGTATAAGATGAATAAGTATTAAATATTCGCCACTGAAATATAGCAGACCTTCTAATCTCACACGAAAATGACCCTTACTTCATGGTCATGTGACACTTGTTAATATGACATATGCCATCTAGGGGTCTTTATACACATCAAGCTCAGCTCATGCAATTAAGTCGACAAATCCTTCTGTACATATTGTACAGCACCATTCAAAGTCAACGTTTCGGAGTTCCACGAGGGTTGTCTATCCTCAACGGGAAACCCTTTACAGTGGCAATCTTGCCAAAGGGATTTTTTAAAAATATATGTGTAGATATCTCGAACAAAAACAAGCGACCTGCCGGGAAGCAATACTATTACTAACAACATGGCGTTTTACATTCAAGGCACTACCGCCATTCGTAAGAAATTGGCTACTTTAAAAAGCAAGATACAGGCAGCGGATAAAAGAGCAGAGAAGGCCAAAGAAAGCCTGCATCATGTGGAAGGAAGTTTCAATAGAACTATGGGCTTGAAAGCGAAATTGGAAGATCAAATCTGCAAGCGAGACTCGCAACGGGACAGAATCGAAACGCTTATCGCCAGCCTACAAAGCAAATGGAAAGCGCTGATTCGATTTCGCGAAGAGACAAATAACACCGGGCCCAAAGAGAAACATGGTGGCCAACACACTCGCGAAATCGATACGAAGATTGCGACATTCACAAAGCAAGCGAAAATCGCTGAGAGGAAATATAAAGCGAGCGTTGACAGAGAACACGCTTTGCTCGGAAAAACGGTAAGGGCTCGAGAACGGTGCACACGTTCAGAGACAAGCACAAGGGAGCTACATGAACAATTATTAGATATGCAGGAACGAGTGTACGTCTTGGAACAGCGGCAACGATCTCGAAACGCTCGTGAACTGCAAATCGAACTCTTGGAGGACAAGGTAAAGCGAACGCTTGCACGAGCTCAAGAACGCGAAAACTTGGAAGCTTATCTCGAGAATCGAATCATAGACTTGGAAGATCAAATCGAAATGTACACACAGAGAAAGAAGCGGGCGTTAAGTGTTCTTGCCGAAAGAGACAATCACAAGTCGATGGAACCGTGGACGATAACATTGTGGCTTCGAAGATCTAGTCTTGTTAATGGCACGTCAATTTCCAATTTCGTTAACTCAAACGGCAGAACCGCAAAAGATGAGAAAATCCTTTAATCTTAAAAATCCGTCGACTTATCTACACAAAGAGGATTAACGCCCAAAGACATATAAAAATGTCCAGCCGCGAGTGTGTTTTATTTTGATTTTGATATCTCAAGAGAATGCGAGTGTCGCCTATCTTGTCAAAATGTCCTACAACAGCGCCGAAGAAAAAGCTAATTTGATGTAAATCCATGCTTTATTGCACTCATTCGGTGTAAAATAAGATCCTGAACCATGACGTGATCATTGAAATAAAAAGCTAATGACTCTGCTAACTCGACGTCGCTCAAGTGTGATATTTTCCGTGTGTTTTCTGAAAGACCTGGAACTCTGTGACCCTACAAGCTTTTGAAATTCTTGTTCCTCCAAAGAAGAAATTTAATGCATCGACGACAAATGCAGACTGCAAGAACAAATGCTCACCAGGACAAGAAAAACAAAGAAATGAATAGCGGCAAGGTGTAGCTTACATAGAAAACACGACTTTCAATAAGTGATGATTCACCAAGAAGTGTTGATTTGTAGTATTTCAAATGAGTATTGCATTTCAAGTATGATTTTTGAATACGTTCATATTTCCTATCTTTTAAAACCAATTTACCTTTATTGTGTCCTGATTTGAAGAAGACAAAAGAAAAAAAAAAAGTTAAACAAAAAAACTCCAACTTAATTGTGTTAAAAATACAATTTCATTGTCGAAGGAACAAAAGACTTCAACAAATATCAACAGAAGAGCCCTAATGATGCCAAATTACAGAGCTAATGACTCCTTTGTTTTTCGCTACACTTAAAATGGAATGAAAGAGAAAACTGTTTCAATCAATTAGGGGAAAAAGACACGAATAAAAACCACTTAGTGAGTTGCACTTGAACTTCAGTTTCATGTCTTGTGTGGTCAACACTGATTGTGATCGAGTTGCATGACCTGTGGACCAAATCGTGACTAACTCCTTTATGCTCCACTGGATTCTCTTTGCAAATAATTTTGAATGGGGCAAAAAAGAAAAATCTCAGAAAATTTGTAAGTTGCTTCATTGAAATTCCATATCACGTAAAGACAATACGTAATTTATAAAAATAGTTAAAGGAACGAATTGGGACGTAGAAACCCTTAGCCTTGCGAAAAATTGAGACTCCGAGACAGCTTCGTAGAAAAATCGAGACTGCGAGACGCACATAACCGCTAAAAAACGAGACTAGGAGATCCGTGAAATTCGACTAAAATTTTACGAGACCCAGAGTTTTTGAAGGACCATTCGCCACCCCTTATCAAGAAGTAGATTTTGCAAATCAGTTATCAAAGCCGGGACCAATAAAATCAAACCAGTTTGAAAGATTAAAAAAATACAAATTAAAAAAAAATCATAAGTGAATTGAAAGAAGAATTAGATACATAGATAAACTAGAAATAGACATTTACGAAACATAATAATTATTAAAAGATTCACACCGCCTGAAGTGGACTGTTATATCGCATATATTTCATTCAGTCAAAATAATATATTCAACTCACGATTTTCAGTTAGCAGTTCACTTTAAGGAAAAAAAAAGGTGCACTCTGCACTCCGCGTTTTCGGAACAGCCGTCGATAGGCACTGATTCAAGACAAGGTGATTGGCAATAAAACGGGGTACTCTATTGGACTGGATTCTTAAACGGGTAACAGGTGAGTATGACGGCCCCTAAAGTCGGTCTTCAAACTAGCTGTCTTCTTGAGCAATCGTTTCCCAAAGTATACGTGACTATTAGGTCGTCGGTAGACGTGATGTTTACTGAAGACTTCAGATACAACATAACTGTTTAATTATCTTTTCTTAAAAGATAGACTGAGGAAAATGTCATCTGAGGTTTTTAGGGAATGCAGGACTTGGTTGAAGCCGAACTCGCAAATTTCTCTCGTGACCCTAACTCAACCGTGATATCGTAGTGAATACTTAATCGCCCCTTAAACCTAAGTTGATCCGGATATTACGGGGAAAAAAGGTTAAGCATGCGTTATCTCTAAAGTGTAAACCAATATTTATCATACTAATTTGGCACAAGAACGCAACAGCTAAAAGTCCTTGACATATTTTAGAAAAACAGAGAGAGGTCGGATACACTCTTTTTTTCTATGGGAATATATGTTATAAGAATTTCGAGGTTGAAATTTCCGAAATTCTAAGCATATTGTTAAGAAAAACACACAGGCTGAAATTTTGAAAAGAATGTATTTTTATGTGTTGAAAATTTTTACATACGATACAATTGCATGTTTTTAAGTAAACAGTATATAAAGTTTTTCTTTTCTCTAACCTAAAAAAAAAAAAAAAAATAGCCAAAAAAGAAAACAACAACAACAACACTTCAACAGCAGCACAAACCATGTGTGCGATGGTAATATCATTTCTGCACGAGGTTGTGTGCCATACCAGGCGTTATTGTTTGCGATCTGGCTCCAAAATCAACGCCAACAAGGGCTAATAAAACGGGAATGTCATATGCTATAATCTAGGAATGTTCACAAGAATATTATCAGCCTAAAATCGGCAGAAAAATGTAATTATTCAGCTCGGGCCAGAAAAAAAACAAAACAAAACAAAAAAACAAATTCTTAGATGGTGTATATGGGCGTCCGTTTTGTTAGCTGCATCACAATATTTCGTGTATAAAATAGGAAACATTAATTATTTTGACGTGAGGAACAAACAGGAATAAAGCTTCTTGCCATGTCATGTTTAGAAAAGCAATCCTTCGTAATTTATCGGAAGTAAAGATAATTTCGTTGAAAACTTATCTAAGCACGGCAATTATAATCAGCTTAATTGTTTGATGAGTCTTTTTGTCGTACAACTCGGCATACCTTCCAAACTTGTGCCAATTATTTGCTCGTAATTACATTGTAACTCTCTCCGTGCGTAATAGGGAACTTACTTATTCCACCAATCATAATTTCCTCTTGTTATTTCCGTGGCAATACGAATCGGACGTCGATACGAATTATATTGGGCCCAGGAATGTTATCGATCACGTAAGGACTCCATAAGATTGATTATTAGTGCAAGATAAAGATATTTATACTAGTTGACCACTTAGGTCTAAAAAAAAAAAAAAAAATACCGAAGGCAACAATATCGTTAGCTGGGGGCGTGAGTTTTTCCAGAGTCCTTCTAGTATAAAGGTGCCACGCTGAAAGCAACAGTTCACAGTTGGCGGACGACAGCCACCGACTAGACTCCACAATGAACAAGTTTGTTCTGATCGCCGTGGTGGGATGTTCGCTTGGTCTTCTGATGCAAGCTGTTTTATCGGAAGGTCCATTCGAGTCAGCAGTTCAGTACGAGCAAGGAAACGATTTTCCTGTCAGGGATGAAACAAGTGACTACGTCGCCCAGGAAGATGAACTGAATGATGAGAGCGCCTTCGAAGACGAGGATGAAGAAGACGAAGACGAAGTGGATGACGAAGAAGATTCTGAAGGGTAACTAATTTTTATGTTTTACCAATGGCAATTTTGGCAATTATTGCTCTTGCCTTGTTTTTTTTCTCAGCAGCAATCCTTTGCTCACTCTTTTTGCTGTTTCATACTTCCAAACTAATGTCACCGCTGCGGCGCATTCCCTTCACTATTCGTTTGAACATAACTAATGACCTTACTTTGAATGCTTGTACAATGTTGAAAAACTTTCTGTAAATGCACAAAACGTCCACTTTACAACTCTTCGAAGATTAACAAAACTGAATCCTTTCAATGAACAAAAGTATAAACATTTAATATTGCTCTGTAGGGAGACCCTTTTTATATTGCTTCGCGTTTATCCTGATTAAAGCGAATACGTGACGGGTTTATACATCAAATAGTTCAAAGTAGAGATAAGAAGAAACGTCTTAAAGCAGACATCGCACCTTTTTAAATTTTATCACAATATAGTGTCTCTGTACCCTATTTTTGCTGCGATTCTCGCTTGTAGCCATGGCAACCTGTGGCTTGCTCAATACGAAGTAGCTGTGTAGGCGGCGGCTATTAATCGTCACTCCCTTAGCGTGGCTACATGGCAATATAATTGGCCCAAAATCTGCACATATTCTGCTCTACGTTTTAGCATCTTGAGGGTCAAATACTCCGGAGAAGATATCAATAATTCTCACTAGTTATCATGTAAATCTTCTCATGTTTGTTCACGTGCTTTGTGAAAGGAGCTTAAGTGGTTCACGGAAAAACTGAGATAAAATTTCTACGTTTTCTTTTTCAGAAACGATGAGTTACAAGAAGATCCAAGACCAAACCCGTTTTGGGGCCGCCGCCGGAAGCCGAGAATCCCAATTCCACGAATTCCGAAACCAAGAATCCCAATTCCACGAATTCCGATACCAAGAATCCCAATTCCACGAATTCCGAAGCCAAGAATCCCAATTCCACGAATTCCGAAACCAAGAATCCCAATTCCACGAATTCCGAAACCAAGAATCCCAATTCCACGAATTCCGAAGCCGAGAATCCCCATTCCTCGTATTCCGAAACCCAGAATACCCATCCCAAGAATTCCTAAGCCAAGATTTCCATGGGGAAAGAAAAAGTAACACTGATCCAGCTCAGTCGACCGGTTTTAAGATTTCCTGTCAAGTAAATGGTTAGAGCGATTGTAATGGTGTTTTAAGGGATTTCTAAAAATAACACGTCACTTGCTTCGAGTATTTTGTGTTTAGATGCGTGATATATGCAGCTTTCGTATTCTTATGATATTATATATCTCAGGCCTTGCATACGGTGGCTGCGGTCACAGTACGAGCAGCAGTGAAAAACGAGCTATCCCGACCGAAACGACAGAATAACAGTCTTTTTCGCTGCAGCAAATAAAAATAGAGACAATGCTCAAGTTGTTCTGGCTTCTTCTTATCATGAATTAGCTCGAGAACTCTGAGTTTACTTGGACGATGAACAAAATGTTTGCTTGACGCGAGCGACCTATTTTTGGCCCCAAATTAAAGCTTCATATTCAGTTTTCCACCTTCTACAATCTGATATGGTTTCTGGCATTATAAATCCCTTTTCGTGAATATTCAATACCGTCTCCAGTGAGAAAACGTCCCCCCTCCCCCTCGCCCCCTCATTTCCTTTCCTGCTAACATACATTGACGTCAGATTTCGTAACGACAGTTGGACAGTGCAGTTTT